CCTTATATAGCTATTATAAGCCGCATATATTAAAAAGATCTAATAATTAATTGATAAAATAGACTACTAACATAATACGCCTATGGCTAGTGTAGAGCTAAAGCCCCGTATAGGGTTAGCCTCACTATTAGAGGTTAATAAGTATTAATGGAAGATTAGATCCCTACTATTTGCCGCCATAATAACGTGCCTAGATATCGCTTTCGCCATATCACGATTGGCCCAATTCCTCACAAACCTAGGCCAAGAGTACTATGACGTAGCTAATCGAGTACTCCTCTACCTTAGAGCAACAAGGTAAAAGGCCCTATAGCTAGGAGGTGGAGATACCCTTTAGGTTACTAGTGATGCCTTATTTGCCAATAATACTCTGGATTGGAAAAGCTCTTAAGGATATATAATTAAGCTATTTAGTGGCTTAATTGCGTGGTGAGCAAATAAACAGGATACCATTATAATATTAATAACTAAGGTAGAGCTCCTAGCCCTTACGTAAGTGGCCAAGGAAGCAATATATCTCTCCCAACTATTAAAGGAGCTGAGGATCAACCTACCCAGCACCACAATTACAATCCAATGTAATAACAAATAGACAATTCGGCTAGTAACCTAGGAAGTATTAAAACTCTAGACTAAGCTTTAATATGTAGATATCCACACCTACTAGCTAAGATAAGAGGTCGCCACTAGAATAATTACCGTTAAGTATATTAGATCGGACGATATAATTGCTAATAGACTTACTAAGGTGTTACTGGCCAATAAATGGTAAGGCCTGCTCGATCAACTAGGTCTTGTTAACGTAATAAGTATAGAGGTGACAAGAACTGCACCACTTAACGAGATATAGGACTACCTTTACCGAGTACTCTAATGATTAATCGCCCAATTAATCAGCTTAGGGAGCGATATTACACCGAGCTAAGGGGGTGTGTTAGATATGAGGGCGTGTTCTGAGTATCTCAGTGTTGTTATTAGATGGCTGGGGCGGAGGCCAGAGGCAGGATATCGAGACTTGGCCGAAATAGGGCTAGGATAGGTTATCTACCAAGACCCACACAAAAGGGCGCCCTAGATAGAACCTCGGCCAATACACCGAACAATCAATTCATCTCATCTCTAGATCACCGACATCTATCAAATTACTATGTAAATCTGACACTTATACTTAGAAGGGTCTAATAAACTTATTAAAAAGTTTTTTACTAGGCTAGTAAGGTACATAGATATATTTTATACTAAGTAGTACTAGGTCTCCTTATAACGAGTAGATCGCGAAGTTCGTTATAGTGTTGTGGCATATGGCGCTAAGGCCTAATAGAGTCCTAGTGTGCCAAGTAAGTCGGCTACGTATACCCCGCGCCGTACACTAGCTTTAGGGAAGTTAAGTATTATTTACTTAATGCCATTAAGTCATCCTTTCA